ATAGTGACAAAATACGCTGTTACTAAAAAAAAAAAAAAAACCAAAAAAACAAAAACCCACTAAAATAAGCTGTTACTATAACAGAAAGATCAAATGTTATCTCCTGATGGAAATACGCATCACTCCCTATGAATTATACTTGGCTTTTCCTTCCAGACCCATGTCAGTAATCAAACTTCAGCCAATGTAGCTACAAATTTACAAGGAATACAAGGGAGAAAGCAGGACCATGTTAATACTATACCATAGGAGCTGGGCAGTTGTGTACACCTGTCATCTCAGCAGTCTGGGAGGCTGAGGCAGAAGGACTGCAAATTTGAGCTCAGTTTGGCCAACTTAACAACTAAGTGAAACCTTATCTCAAAAAAGTTTGTAAAGAGGGTGTGTGGGGGTGCACTATGAAGGCCCTTTGTCCAATATCTAGTACTGCAAAAAGCAAAAGAACCTGTACCAGACACACATTCACGAAAATCCACAATGAAATTAAAGTATGACCTATTGCTTTTAACAAATAAATTATAACAATAAAGGATGAATCTTTAGAATATAAGGTTTAAGAAACATACCAAGCAGATGCAATGACCTTGTTTGGATCCCAAATCAAACCAATTATTTTATCTATTCTTTAATGTATTTTAATGTACAGGGTCTACAGGGCTTCACACTACACAAATTACAATCATAGTGATCCTCCTGTTTTCAGCCTCCAAAGTGCTGGGATTACAGGCATGTACCACCACGCCCAGGCTGGGGGGGCGGGGGGGGGGCTGGCACAGTGTGCCGGGGATCGAACCCCAGTCCCTGCGAAACCAATTATTTTAAAACAATTTACGAACAGAAAAATAAAGTTATAAAAATCTGAAGAGACTAAATGCTTCATGATGTTACTTTTTAAAGGTAGGATAATGATATTATGTGCAATATTTTCTTAAGACTGTTATCTTTCGGGGCTGGTGAGATGGCTCAGTGGTCTAAAGCACCTACTTAGAACAAGCTTAGCAAAGCACAGGGAGAGCGGTTCAATCCCCCAGCACCACATGCCAGCCAGCCTCGCCCCCTGGTGGGCTGAGCTGGCCACACACACACACACACACACACACACACAAAAAAAAAAAAAAAAAAAATAAAAAAAAAAAAAAAAAAAGAATGTTATCTTTCGGCCAGGCTTGTTGGCACCCCAGCACTTGGGATGCTGAGACAGGAGGATCACTGTGAGTTTAAGGCCAGCCTGAATTACATGGTGAGGCCTTGTCTGAGAGAGCTTTTAGATATATTGAAATATTAACAGATAAAGAAAATTGCATCTAGGATTTGTTTCATAATAATCAAATGTGGGCCAGAGATACAGCCCAGCAGCATAAGCACTTGCTTGGCAAGCACAAGGTCCTGAGTTCGATCACTGGTACCAAAAAAAGAAAGAAAATTAATACTCAAATGTGATAATCCTTATCTATTGGCAAAAGTAATTAGTAGTAGAGATGAAACATTAATAGCTCAACTCCTGTGCTTTGTAAATTTCCATATTAAACTGTTTAGGAAGGAAAAACACCACAAAATAGATGTCAGGAATGTTACCAGGTACAGCCAGATAGCTCAGGAGACTAAAGCGCCTGCTAGGCAGAGCAAAGTAGCCGTGGTTCCATCCCTGGCTTGGATGCCAGCCCTACCTCCAGGGCACCCTGAGACAGCAAGACTGAGCCTGGTGGCACAGGCCTGTAATCCCAGCACTTGGGAGGCTGAAAACAGGAGATCACTATGAGTCTGATCTGTGTACTGAGACCCTGTAGACCCTGCCCTAAATACATTTAACAAAAGGGGTAATGCTACCAACAGAATCAAAAGAAAGGAATGGAATGGTTTTGAATTTTTTCTCCAAGCTTTCCACACTGGGCTGCCCTATTCTAGACATAGGGCCAATGATTAAATGGAGACAAACTTCTACTTGTTCAAGCTAGAAACTTGGGTGATATCCCTAGTTTCTCTTGCTTCTCCACATCTCTTATATCTGACCCACCACTTAGTCCTGCTTCCCTTGTCTTCCATCCTACCACTGCCCAACTTTTCCAATACTCATCTCACACCACTCTCCAAAGTGCCTCTCCCTTTTAATCTACTCTCCAAAGTGCCTCTCCCTTTTAATCTACTCTCCAAAGTGCCTCTCCCTTTTAACCCACTCTTCATTATACACAGAATACTCCTAAAATATAAAGTTTGATCAGGTGATCTCCAGCTCCATTGGAAATTCTTTCAATCAGCTTCAAGAGTGGTCTTCTAAGCATTTTTTTTTTTTTTTTTTTTTTACCTAGCCTCTTCCCCAGTTTCTTCAAATGGCTGAAGACCCTCTCTCTCCTCACATTCTTTGTGACTCCTCTCTTTAGCTTTGGCAAAACCCTTTCAGTTCCTGCACTGTACCCAGCACTGAAAGTAGCTGTACTAATGTCTAAAATGCTTTTTCACCGATCTTCACTCTCTTGCCTATACCTACTTCCTATTCATCCTTCAAGTCTCAGGTTAAATAGCATTTCCTTAGAAAAGTCTACCGACGTTGCTTCTCTCCTAAACTGGGTGTCTACTCTCACCTCCACAAGTATTTGTTCCCACATTGCTCCACATTTGTCTGTGGAGGGTGCTTGTACTAACTACATATTTTATCTGTTTCCCAGTTAGACTATAAACTCCAGGAGGACAAGCGCGGAGATTTGTTTTTTGCTGAATTTTAAATCTCTCACAGTGCCTGACAGCCACAAAAAAATTGCTGAATATATACAATTCATAACTTTCTGAATGGCTCCTTCTTCCTAGTCCTAATATGCAACAAAAACAGGCACACAAGAATTTATACACTGGTCTGAATCCTCTATAGGAATGCATATTATGAAATGAACTGAAAACAGCTGGAATGAAGGACAGAATTTGGGATGTTGTTACTCTTAAAAAAATCTATTTCCAGTTATTCTTATTGATAACTTTATAGAGAAAACTCAGAAATGCTAATCTGACAAAACGGGAGTCAAAAGACACTGAGTTCTGGCCCAATCATTAACTTTTCATACCTTAGATATTAAGTCACAGTCTTTCCAGCCTCAGTTCCTCTCTGTAAAATAACAGAACCACCCAGCTAGTCTGGTAAATTCTCTTCAAAGCTAATATTATATTTAAAGGGTGAAAAGACATGGGAACTATTGATTCACTGATCAGGTAGCTTTAACCTATTTAAGTATCATCTTTTTTCCCCACTTTTAAATCTGTTTAAAGATGTAATAGTCCAGTATTTAAGCTTACCCTAAATCTGTAAAATCTATTCAGCTATAAAGCTCACAAGTGACATGCCTGTAATTCTAGCAGTAGGGAGGCTGAGGCAGGAGTATCAGAGTCCAAGCCTTTGTAGCCAGCCTAGCTACAAAGTGAGCTTAACATACGGCCGAACTGCTAACAAAACCTTGTCTCAAAGGCCCCTCCCCCCAAAAAAAACACCTCACAAAATGCTCCTCAGACTATTAGCTCATATAATTCAACAGAGCTACTGCAATCTGACACAGGGTGTATTTAAACCCCAAATAAATTACTGAAGTATATTCAATTTGGGTTTAAATTTAAAAGTTTATTGTCTGTTTAAGGCCTTTATTTCTTTACCATTTCTATGACAATCTGAAGGCAAAATTGTACCTCAGGGTTTAAGACCTGGGCTTATGACTGGGCATAGTGACGCCTGCCTGTAATCCCAGCTCTTGGAAGGCTGTAAACAGATGATCACTATGAGTCCAATCTAGTAGTGAGAGCCTCAACACCCTGTAGACCCTTCCCTAAAAAACACAAAAAAGACTTGTGCTTATGGCCGTTACTTAACACCTAATAAGATATTGTGTCTATTTCACTTCATTGGGCTAGTAGCCGAGATAAAATTGTTTATTAACAGCCTAATTCCTTTCTACAATCTTCCAAGCTCTCCCACAATCCAGAGTTCATCCTATCACAAAATGCCAGTACATTTCCCACTTGGTTTATCAGGAAGGTGAGATGTACACATTTTATTTCGAAACCAGAACAATTTTTAAAACATTGCTAAACTCATTAATAGTAAAGAAGCCTGTAAACATTTTTTTTTTTAATCAGTAGACACCCAGTTTATTATTATCAGCCACTGGAAACCCGAAGAAAGACTCTAGTAGTAGCACGTGTGTTCTGGTGTAGACTGATTACAAATTAGTGTGTTTTTTTTTTTTCAACAAGTGCCTGCCGTACAAAATACGTCACGACAAAGAAACTAAATGTTAAAATGCACGAGAAAAAAAAATGTATTTGGAACAAGCCTGCCTCTGCCCATCCCCAAGGCTATCCTTCCGACCAGCTCAAGCCCCTGCGCGGGAGGCGCCTGAGCAGCCACAGGTTGCACGACGAGGCACCCCCCACCCCCACCCCGGGGCACAGTCTCAGAGGCTGCGGGTCGGCTGGTCCCCTCCGCCGCCAAGTCCCTCCGAGCCCTACAGTGTCGCTCGGCCGCGAGCAATGCAGCGCCGCGGAGCACTCTCACAAGTCATCAGGTGGGACGAGGATTGGCAGGGACGGCGGCGGGGCGGGCTTGCCGCTTGCCACGAGTCCGAACTCCCGCCCGAGTCCCTCACCTCCGGCAGGCGGAGCAGGAGTCCCGAGGCACCACGTGAATCGGCCCCACGTCGCCGCTTCTCGCAGGCCAAAGCATCTCCCAGAGAGTCCACTTAAGATGAGAGGCCACCTCCCCAAGGTCACCGGGTACCATGACCCGACTCCTGAGCCGGGTCAGCAGCCGACACCTGACCGGGGCTCGCCGTGCGGCTGCGAAAGTCGAGTCGCTGACCCCGGCGCCTAAAGGTCCCTTCCCCGCGGCCAGGATGCCCTCTGTTAGAAAGCCGCCCTCCCCGAGACTGAGGTCCCCAGCACCCTGGAAGGTCCCTCAGCCCCATTGAGGCAGCGTGGGCGCCAGGGGGTACGCGCCGAGTGCCGCCGGCTGAGACCCAACTAACCGTTAAGCACGCGGCTCGACGAGCCGGGCGTGTGAGTGACGCACGCGGCGAGCAAGCAAGGGGTTCCTCCGGCCCCAAGGCCCGGCTCGTGTCCTTCTCCTGCCGCCTAGTCCGCTCGCGCGAGCACCCACGCTAGAGGTTAGTCACGTCGCAGCTCGCCACTTTGTCTGGCGCGGCCGGCGCTGCCGCCTTATAACCCGCGCGGGGGGGGGGCCGGAGCATGCGCACAGGGGGCGGAGTCGGCCCGCCCGCCGGCCGCCGCCCCCTCCCCGCCATACCTACACCCAGCAGCGGCTCGCACCTCCAAGGGCTCGCGGCTGCGCGCGCCCGCGCCCCCTCCCCGCCACGTGACCCGCGGCGCGCGCTCAGCCCCGGGGACCCAGTTCCTTCGGCTTCTTCTGTCAGCCCGCGCCTATTCTGAGAGGGTAGCGGCCAGCTACGCGCGTCCGGGACGACAGCGCCCCCTTCACGCGTGTTTCAGGCGGAGAACCCGGGAAAGCGGCACGAGGGCCCGGCGCCGAGCCGCGAGGGGACAGGCGCGCCGAGCAGCCGCAGAGCGAGTGGAAGAGGAGGGACCGGGCAGCGTTTGAATGGACGCGGTGCAGCCGCTCGCGAAAAGGCGGCCAGGGGCCGGCGCCAGAGAGCCTGGCAGCGGACCATGATGCCCTGGATGCCAGTCTTGGCCTGGCCCTCGAGTTCCGCGAGCTCGGGAGATTACTCAAACCCTCGGAGCCAATTTCCGCTCCTTGAAACGGCAACAGTAATAGAGGCGACCCCGTGGGCGCATAGGAAGTTTCGATGAGAGAAAGTAAGGAACTTTTGCACCTCAGGACCTGGCCCGTGTGGGTTAATCAATGGTGGGTGTTAGAGATCAGTTGGTGAGGCGAGCAGGTAAGAGAGTGGAGAGACTGGCCAGAGGGCAGGCGGGCGTCGGAAACCCGAGAAGGGGCGTGCAGCGAGGCCGCGCTGTTGCGGACCCCGAAGGTCGGGGCAGGGCAGGGTTGTGGTTCACAGTACCGGAAGGTAGATACGTGCTCAGCGCTTCGCCCTACGAGAGGATGGCTTGTAGCATCCCCTCAGCCCCGTGAAGCAGGTGCTGCTGCGGAAATATAGAGCTAGGAAGTGGCCACCAGTTGATCAGGCTCCAGAGCCTGATTTTTTGTCTTAAACCATCGTATGTTCTTGACCAAGACCAGACATCAAAGTGTATCTGCAGGTTATTCATGAAGTGTCTCTGATCCCCAGAGAAATTGAAAGAAAAGTATGAGGAAAGACCTCTGCTATTAAAGAGTTCATAAGTTTTGGGGGGTTGTTTTGTTTTGTGGGGGGACCCAAGTCAGTCGTAAATGACCAACTTTTTTTTTGAGCACTGGCTGCATCCCAGAAGGCTGGCTTTCCTATCACATCTTCCTCCCACCCTGTTCAGCGCTCCCCCACAGAATTTTCACAACTCTGCGAGGAAAGCCTTATGTTTCTGTTTTGCAAATGGACCTGAGATTGAGGACTGGGGATTGGAGGGTCAGATTCTGAGGGGTCCCGGTACTTTCTCTCACCCACCCTGCTTTTTCACACAACAAAAAAGTAATCACTCAAGGTGATTAAAGGCAAGGTGCTTGTGAACAATAGTTGTTTTCTGTTTGCCAAATACAGAAAAAGAGGAAAGGATTTTAAGAGATTAGGGTGAACAGGATTTACAACAGTGGTGCTTTAAAATTGTTAGGGTGGCAGTAGCATTCAGGTAAATACTGTAGTAGGAAAGCTTAGGGAGACAATAGGAAACTAGTTCAAGTGTTAATTAATTAATTTATAAAACCAGAATGGAACTCCGGGCCTCTGGCTTGCTAGGTAGGTGCTGTGTCATGGGGCTATATCCCTGGCCCATCAGGTGCGAATTTATAAGGACCTGCACTGTGCAAAGTAGTGGGAAGTGGTCAGATGATTCCCAGAGAACTTAAAGCTGTGTTGAGCTGTGTATTGGTGGCAGATTCATACTAT